TTGCTGGCTGTTTTGCTTTGCTGACCTTCAGGTGGAACCCCAATATTTGTGTTTGGGTTTTTATTAATCATGCTATAAATCATATTTTAAAGTATACCCTTTAAGATATTGAAGAAAAGATGGCTTTGAAAAACAGTGATACTTTTCTTTCTCAACATAAAATAGAAAGGGGTTGGCTGATGGAAGCTACCTAAAACCAACTGTCCCCTTGCATTCAGAAAATTAGTGAAGAGAAATACAAGAAATTTTTTCAAACCTGAAACTTTAGTACAAGAGTGAGTGAGTCACAACTGACATAATCCAGTCTGAATCAACATTTGTGCAGAGGGAATCTTGTGGGAATTAAGAGGATGCAATAGATTAGTTGGACACCTATGACTGGCAAGGCTTTGCTCTGACAAGAGAGAACACACTGCAGAATAAGATGACAGAGCTGAAACCTAACAAAACAGCTTTTTGAACACTGCAAGTGTGAGAGCGCCTGTGTGGCAGAAACTTTAAACATGGATCAAAAGGGTAGGCCCAAATCTAAACTTTATGAATATACATATCTAAACCAATGATATTTGAAACATTCTGAAGTAGAAGATGATCAGTATGGAAGAACCAAGGAAAAGCCATGAAGGAAAAATGAGCTTTAGTTTCAAGGACATTTGAGAGGCAAATGTGGAAGCATAATATTCAAGGCTGAAATTCATAATAAAAATGACAGTCTTCTTTGAAAATGTAGAAATGCACAGTCTCAAAGCAGAAAGCCAAAGCTATGCAAAGCAATATGTTGCTAATAATAGTACTGTTAACAATATTATTACTACTACTAATAGCTGACATTTAAAATCTCACAATGAAAGTAGTCTAAAACCAATCAGATAGACAGCTTAAATGAAATAACTGAGATACATCTTATAGAAGAAGTTTGTCTCCCAGTGAAAAACAAAAGTCTGCCACCTTTCCAAGGCCCACAAAACATTCATTAAAATAATACCATATTCAGATGACAAGAAAGCCATGCACTATTCTAAATAGTAGAAGGGCAGGTTCTCTCTGGCTGTGAGAAAACAAGAAGGAAATGAGAGATGAGAAAGAATCACAAATATTTTTACAAAAAAATGTAAATCTTCAGAAAAACAACATACAACTGCAAAGCCAATTAAAATACATATCAGAACCTGCAGAAAGGGTATGTGATGATTTAAGCATTTATACCAATACATACACAATACTAGAATGAAGTGTCTGAGAATACAAATGAAGAGTGTAAAGAACAGAAAAGAAACTGATATACTCTATGCTACTATCAGACTTGCAAAAGAACACTACACGTATTAAGGAAGTACAACACAGACTTTTTTAAATTACAAAAACTCCTGGGCCTACAATACGAATCAAAGCAAATTATCTGACCTAACATCAGTCAGTAACTCACAATGAAAAGATAATAGGCAGTCAAGGAAAAGGACTGTTATAAACTCCATAATAAGTGAAAATCTTAAAGAATTTTAAATAACATTACTTAAAATGTGCTAGCATTTATCACCAGTGCATGAACTGGCTTTTTGAAGCCCATTTCCTAAGAAGGGATACCATGCTCAGCAGGGAGGGGCTTGTCTTGTCTCAATTTGATAAGCCAGACTTTGTAGATTCTCCATGGGAGGCCTTACTTACCCTATCTGAGGAAGAGATGGACGATTAGGTAGTGGGAAGGTGTGGGGTTTAAGCAAAAGGAGGGGAGAATGGGAGAAATTGTTTTTGTATGTAAAATGAAAAAAAATCCCTTTCAAATAATACATTTTAAAAAATGTGCCACATTTAGTAAAGTTATGGATATAGATATGATGTGGTAGCTAAAGTTGATTAAAAACTGGACAGGATCAAGTTTCACCTATGAAAGGAACTGCTGGTTTTATCTGTGAGGAATGATCTAGATAGGTGTGGATGCCTGAGAGGGATGCTCCTGATTAAGATAACCAAGATAGGAAGACCCATCATAAATTTTCAAGGCTCTATTAATAGATCCTATTGCTGAAGAATCAACACACCTAAGTCACAGAATGTGAAGAAAACAAGATGATAGTCACATGGAAACTAACTCCTTATTGGCTATCTTTTATGGTGCTAGAAAGTGTCATGCACGCTACTGAAGAAAAAAAGTTTTCAATAGTTCATCCAATTGTATGGAATTATAACTGAGTTACAATAATGACTGCCTTGGCTAGATAAGATCTCTAGTGCAGTAATGGCACAAATGTTATGGGGGTAACCAACCACTTTCTGATAGAATCTAAATTCTTTTCCATGATGTGACTACCTGACACCACAAAAGAGATTACAGACCTGTGGCTAGATTGGTCAGAAAAGAACCTATTACTAAAGGATACAGTAATAGAACTATTCTTAATGACTTATTGTTGTCCTCAATGATCAAAACATCTTTCAATACTCATCATAAAAGCTTTCTTGCCAATAAGCACAGAAACCCTCAATTTGTTAACTTATAGAGATAAAGAGACCGTGGAGTGCTCAGCCCTAAGTAGGACATACATATCATACTTCTCCCAAAAGTTCAGAGCCAGAAAGAGTATAAGAGCCAGGGGTAAGAGATAATATTAAGGAAACAGTATTTTCAAGAAACAACAGGGTAGCTTCACATAGAAACTAACGGTGATTGCAACAGTATGCACAAGCTCAAACCAAACAAAAATCACACACAGATGGGGGAAGGTGGGCATGAAATTCCAGAACCAGCTGCAGAGCTATTGACATTGGACAGCTACTGAAGAAGGGAGATTCAATGATTTTTCATAATGTATCTCCTGGTAGGTTGACAACATTGCAGGGAAGACCCTACCCCAGGACTAGGTAGATGACAACACAGCATCAGTGAAGAAGTCTTGTAAACACAGCTGAAATCCAAGTTGATCAAAGCCTTCTATCAGGCTTGGGGGAGCAACTTTACTGATGCCGCAAGGGAAGCACATGTACAAAGCCAGGAGGATTATGCCATACTTAGGTTTTGCCACAAATGAATGCATGAGTATAACAGCTAAGAGGATTGCTATAGATAAAGGACTTCAAGATTGTGATAAATGAAAAATGTTTATGATCCATGCTAGTATTCAAATAAATGTGACGCTTTTGAGAAAATAAGAATATAGGATCACGTATTATTGGTTCATGTAAGGAATCATTACTAGGTTTACTGGGTACAACAATATTCTGTGGTTAAGTAAAAAAATATTCCTTTCCCAGAAACTGTTTCTTCAAACATGAAGATATAGAATCACAGTTAAGTATTCTTTTAAAAACTAAAATAGAAATAAAGAAAACTCAGGCAAGCACTGAATATATATAATGGACATGTCGAGTTTCTGTTGTATCATTCTATTTTCACAAATGTTTTAAGTCTTCCCACATCAAAGAAAGAAACAGCAAATATAAGTAAACACACAGAAGGAATGTTGAGAAATCTCAATAGAATGTGACCTGCATGGAGAGAAGGTTGACTTATCTCCTCAACATACTGCACTCCCAATAAATACATACTCCACTCCCACCAGATATTTCTATGTCAGTCAGGATTAATGGTGACTAGGATAGAAGAGGAGGTAAGGTGATACCCATGGGGTGAAGCAGACTTTTAGCTATTTGTAGAGCTATCAGAGCCAAACTTTCATCAAGTTCCCCAACTTTTTACAAACCTTGACTGTTTATTAACTGTTCAGTCCTTAACAGGGTCCTTTCAGTATCTGATTTTAAATTTGCAAAAAAAATTAAGTATTAATCTGTTCAACTGCATGGATTAGAAAGCTGCAGTATACATGAAGTATACAGCTGCAGATACACAGCTATGAACACTCATTTATGAGGTACTGGGTGCCTCATTGGAAATTTACCCTAATACACTATGTTGTGTGATGTTAGCAGCCTCAGTGAACGTAGAAAGAGTCAGTCAGATCAAGTGATCTATTTATTGAATAGCAAGTTAATAGGAACAAGCAAGTAAATAGGAAAATATTATTGCAAATGCTGAGAAGTGGGGCAAGTACAGGTTCAATAAAATTAGGCCACAGAAGTGAGTTTTAAATTCCCCAATGGAGTTTAATTCACCTCTATAAGGAAAAAAACAAAGAAAGGAATATCCTAACTTCAGAGACTACTAATGGCTCCTCATTTAGGACACAAGGTTTGTGTTGTTTTAACATACATTACAATAATGCCATTTTTATACTCTAGATGAAGTAGGAGTAAAATTAGCAAAATGAGCAAATCAGAGCAGTGGTCTACTATGTGTGTATGCATGTGTGTGTGTGTTTGTATATTTATGATGTGTAACATTATTGCACTGCAATTCACTATTTCACTAATGAGGACAGGTTGGTTCAAGAATCGGAGTGCCTTTACTTCCTTACAACTGAGATTATGAATGTATGCTCTCAAGCCTGATTTGTTTTTCCCTTCTCATGTGTATATATGGGTGTGCACATATGTGTATATAGTATGCAAGTTGTATGCATGTTAAAATACATATGGAACACTGTAGATAAATGTGCATGTGAAGGCCTAAGGTGGTTGTTGAAGTAATGATCTAGTATTCCTGATCCACCCTCTCATTCATTCAGAGAGAATCTCTATTAAAACAAGAACTCACTGATTAATCTTGAAAGATAGCTTGTACTGAGGATTCCTTGTCCTCTCCTTCAGTGACTGGGATTACAAGTAGGTTCCCATACTCAGGTATCATTTACATAGGTTCTCTGACCCAAACTCAATCCTAAGCTTGAACTGCAAGCATTTTTAAACCCTAAGCATCTCCCTCACATCTTCCCAGGATTGTTTACAGGGGCTCTGGAGGTCAGACTAGGACGCTCATGCCTGCCGGTCAACACTTTACCAACTGTGACATCGCCCCAGCTCTCAGAGAGGCTAATTTGAAAGTGGGTGAATGAAAAAAAAATAGAATTATGCCAAATAAATGTTGAAATATTTAAAATTGATCTTACTGATTCGAGTGATTTTGTTATGTGAAAGTTCGAGGTTTTGGATATTTGTGCATCCATCCAAACCATGAATAGACGTCAGCAGGTTATTATTAAGAAGAAGGACACAGAGATTTTCCAGATTTTCACAATTGATAGTCTCAATGTGGTTTTCCTGAAGCAGAGAAAGAGCAAATACAATAATTTTATTTCAATATCTTATAAATATAATACTTAATTCTTTCAAAATATTAAGCTTGAGATACGATGTCTAAACTGGCACATAAATTTCTAATTAATAAACTAATCATGTAACTAGCTATACTATGAAGAAGAAAAATTAATACACAAAAAATTGGCTATTTTTACATTGGTTCAATATTCTTCAAAAATATAGAGGATAATACAGCAAAATATTTGAACAACCCAAATAAGCACAGTGGAATATTAGTCAATGATGTTGTTTGTGTTTTCAGATGGGAGAGGTTGTGGTAATTAACTGAATCCCTGCTCACCATGATTCCTGAGTGGATGGGGGGGAGGGAACATCCCATTTTACTGCACATCTCTCTGACTTGTAAGGACCATGCTTTCACAAGTGTATCTGAGGAAGGGCACGGAGAAGCTGCTCGTCCACCATGCAGTTTATGAACTGATGGCATTAACTAAAGAGATTCTGTGGTCCTTGGGACGGGAGCCTATTTTCTATAGGTGATTCATAAAGAAGACACTGAGTGGCAGATTGTGAAGGAACATGAGTCGGAAAATCACCTAGAAACCAGACAACCCAGTATTGGCACACATGTGGTTCCCTCCCACATGAACGCACAGCTCAGCCAATGAAACACTGGATGACATGACATAGATGCTTGATGTGCACTGGCATACTAACACATGACTGCATCAAAGCTCACTCTTGGAAACAAAGAACCCCTAACAGTTACAAAATAGTCTAACCTTTGAGACTGCCTTATCAATAGCCTAAAAAAGTAGGATTTTGGATATTCTCAACCCAGCTAATATGTGATAATTATAAAATGTTCAGCCAAGCAGGCTTGGCTGCAGAATCACAGAAATCACAGGATATTTTTTTTTCCTGAAAAAATTAAAATGATTGTTTTTATTCTGAAAATAGTGGTACAAAATTCAATTATTTTAGTTGCTTAGACATCATACCATCTTAAGACAATTTAAACATGGTTGCCTGCAATCTTTGAGAGTAGAATATACTGTTTACACTTTGCTGATGATCTGTGTGCTTTACCAACTGCAGTTAGTAAACAACTAGTCTAGACATTTACGTTCTAAGTGAATATAACCAAACATGAGAAAATGGAAACTACAAATTTTAGAACTGATTTTCTTTTCACAGCAGGCTTTTAAAAGAAGCAACTGGTCACTTTGACAACCTGAATTGGAAATGTTAAATCTACAAAAGACCCTTAAGACAAGTTGTTCTTAAAAACACAAATTATTGCTGGGCGTGGTGGTGCACGCCTTTAATCCCAGCACTCAGGAGGGAAATAGGCAGGTGCAGGAGAATCTCTGTGAGTTCAAGGCTATCCTGGTCTGCAGAGTGAGCTCCAGCAAAGCCAGGTCTTAATATTATTTTAAAGATTGTTGTCATTTGCTACAGTTACCTCAACATTTAAAAAACAAAATCATTCATTACTGGCTCAGAATACCCTCAGCCTATCTACTCAGTCCCCTTAGGGCCGTGCTGCTTGTTTAAACCTCATGCATCAAGCTATTTTATTGCTTCTTCAAAATCATCATATCCGAAATCTAAACATGCAGCTAGTTAGTATCTATTGTATGGCAAATGATAAAAAGATGCAACTTGCCTGCGCATCAATGTATTTAAGGTTTCTGCAGCGGTTCAGGCCATGCAGAGAAGTTAAGCCACAGCGTCGGAGGGACAGAAGCTGAAGATTTGTGCACTCTGCCAGTGTAGAGAGGCTACAGCCGGGCAAATCCTGAAATGTAATGGCTGTGACCTAGAGATTTCAAAGAGACTGTAGTGAGCTACACTGTGGAACCGCATAATATAGATTCGCCTTGCCAGGTTCTAAGTAATTGTATATATAGAATCCTACCTTTTTTAGGAACTCAATTTCAGTCTACCTATCTGGTCTCATTTTCTTGCAACATAGCAAGATAACTCATGCAATCATTCACAATCAATTCAAGTTGAAAGGTAAACATGAAAGCAATGTGGCAACCCCTTATTAAGTTTCTCCTTAATTTTTAGGAAATCTTCGTTGTTTTCAGGCTTTGAAATACTTTTCTTTGCATAATATAGCATAAAGGTCTATGCTATGTGTCTAAGAGTAGAGTTGAGATTCCTGGATCTCTGACAGAGACAGATAGTATTGATGGAGATACAGCATTTGGCCCATTTCTTGCTTAACCAACAAAAGCAATAACATATTTCTTACACTTAGGTAAATAAAGATTCTATTTTCATAAGCATTTCAGAGTATACTGAGTATTCATTAGCTAAAGCAATCAACACAACAAATTATCTTTCAAATTTTTGGAATGAAAATATATCATCCACTTCAGTGACAATGGCAAATGCACTTCTTATTGAGTTGGAATGCAAACAGATAAGCTCTATAATTAGAAAGTTGGTCATGCACTAGAAAATGAAAACAATTAGACTCAGAATTGAATAACACAAAATTTGACAATTACAGATAGCTATGTAATAATGAAGGTAGATTGGCCATGACACAATTATTCTGCCTTACTTGATAACATGCCTATTCCAGTAAACTATATTGTCACAATCAGATTTTACTTACTTATGAGGGGTAAGCTCTCTAATTTCTGTGGTTCCATTTCATTACAATTCATGAATGAAAGTTATGTTGGCACCTTGTTCTGGGGAGTTTTACAATATTTCTTTCACTTATTTGAACTTTTAAAAAATCTAAGATATAGGAATGTATCCTATACCACACCCTAAATTTTTCTAAATGTGTAACATCAAAATAAGTGTTCATATTCATTGTTTGACACATGCATCATAGAAATCACATGCTTTAAATCCCTCCAATCCAGGTAAATATAAAATTATTAATTATATGTGCCCATTAATGTTTAATCAGCTTGAAAAATATTAGTTGGCATAAGAGAGTTTGATTAAGTGGCTCTAAGATTTAAAAAAATAAATTGTTTCAACTTGGAGCAAAACTTCAATATATTTATAGCAGTCTTATTTTCTTTTCCTGTTATGGACAATATAAAAACATATTATAGAATGAACTGTTCCATCTATGAAACCTATGATCAATTCATTATCTTCATAATTATTAGTATTTTTCATTTAATCACACATATTTTCTCAAATATTATATATATATATATATATATATAAATCTCAAGACTGCTGTAATCTCTTAGAGATTCAATTATGAATTATCATTATGTTTAACCTAAGGAATGCACTTTACCATCCAACCTTCCAAAGGAGATGTTTGTTGTCAGGCTAGGCACAGAGATGTGAAACTAAATGACTAGAGAATCAAAGTAGAAATGTTACAGTGTTTGAATAAAACACTATGACAAACTACTTGTCAATCAGAAAAATTAAAGAAACTTTCTGGAACTAAAAAAAAGTATTTTCTAGTATCTCAGTATTTTCATGATATATTAAGACATATTTTTCACTTTTATAAAATACCTCTGAAACTTCAAAGAAAAATGTAGTTTGAGTAAGTAGATTTCGTGACAGAGAAAGTATGCTAGAGTCCTGGAGACCACAGTTAATCGAATCAGCCTACCTACCAGTGCTAAGCCATCACTTCAGAGACTCGAATAATAGGTAATATTTGCTCAATCAATTAACCAGAAAACCTAGTTCACATTTTAGGAGACGCTCAGATGATGAAGCATCACTCTAAAAGATATACAGAGAGCTACTTTCCCTTTTGGAGTTCTCAATAAGGAACATGACTTGAATAGAAGACACACATATCCAGGAGAAAGGGGAGTACTCTCCTCATTGATAGGGAAGAGACCAGCTAGTAACAAGGACCAATAACCGGGTTCCTCTAAATTAAGCTTTATTTTCAAAGCAGTTCACACTAGAAGTGCCACCTGTAGCTAGCTCTCAGTTATGTACATGAGGTAACTTTTGCAAGTAAAAGGCACTGTTGTCATAATGAAAAGTCTGAAACAAACTTGGGGAAAGAAAACCATAGAAAGAATGGGCCCAGAAACAGTGTCATCCAAGTAAAAACACTGAAGAACCACAGAGATCTGTATGCAGCTGCACAGAGCTGGTAGCCAAACAATGACTAAGAAACTTCACTCCGTAAGTTCCAACTCTTGTTCCCTATGTGGATTTTCTTCAACTGAGATGCCTCTTCTGAACCTCACCACCAGCTGGAAATAGTGGTGTAGCCCTGCAATTCCAAGCTCAGAGGGTTGAGGCAGGAGCATAACACATTTAGTCCACCAAGACTGCACAGTGAGCTCAAAACTAGCCTGGGAAATTCCGTGAGACCCTGTCTCAAAATATTTTTTTCTTACCAAAGGGCAAGGCACACAGTTAAGTTGTCGGGTTCTTGCTAGCATAGGTCAGTTCTGAATACACAAAGAAAGTAAATCAACAAACCCAATTAATTTATTTTCCTTTCACAGAACACACAGGAATCTTATTTACGGCAGCCAAAATTTATGGAGCATTTCTTTACTTATGTTCCATAGGGACAAAGGCTCCATTTTCTGTTCAGCTCACCAATAATTATTGGTCAAATATATTAGACAAATGAAAAACTTCCAAGTGAATAAAACCCTGTTTGTTTATTAGTATTTTGATTTGTCCAGGCAACGGTCTATATAAAAAATGGAATGCGGTCTGGAGGGTAGCCTGATCGGGGAAGACTTGAGTGGCATACACAAGGGCCCAACCTAAAGCAATAAAAAAGACAAGCACTGTAGTAGACAAGTACATGGGATATGGGGAAGGTGTACATGAGTTTTAGGTCAGTGTGTGTGCCGTGGTGAGAGGCTGTCAATGTTCTCTTTAAATAAACGTTAAGTCATTAAAGGCCATGAAGCGATAAAATATTTTAATAAAAAGGTCTTATAAAAGATCTGGGGTCACTTGTGAATAGCTTACTGTCTATAGGCTTGTTCTATTATATAAGAGGACACTCTTCATCCACCCTCATGATGTATGGACTCGTGTCCTCTGAGGTAGTTAATCTTCAGAAACACGGTCCCGTATAGAAGTCAAAATAGGTCCTACTTGTCTCAGGGTACGGATACAGTGACGCCTATCAGATTATTGGTAATTGTCCTTCCATTCTATTTTGAGGACGTGATGCCAGAAGTCGACCTCCTACTCCAACTGAGACACAAAAGGGCTGTGATTTGGAGCCTCTCCCTAGCACGTGTTGGAGTTTGCCTTCACACTGATGGATGGAACTTGTATCTCTCTTCTGTGCATAATCAGCTTCCATGTGTGATATGTAATCTTAGGGCCCAGTGTCTCTAGATATTCTATAGCACAAAAAATAGAATTCCAAAGGTCTCTTGAAAATCAGGGTTCTTATGATCTTAAATATCTACCCGGATTGTATCTAACATTAGTTGCCTGAAATTTGATTTTTAGCTACAGTGACGGTTGGATCTCACCATATACAATCTACCCTAATAATCAAGTGATAGAAGGCGGCTATAAACTTAATTCCTAAAACTAAATTTTTTTTAAAAAAAATATTGTTTTCATGCATCTAAAATAAATTTAACTAAATATATTTGACTTTCAAGCCTCAGTTAAATAATAATTGTAACTTGTTTGAGGCACTTTATAATCAAAATTCCTTATACATAGGTTTCTATGTCAAGTTCATTTGATATCATGTTCTCCAAAAAATAAAATTAGTTGGACTTAATGAAAACTATGCTGTTTCCAGCCTCTGTATATTTCAACTATATGGCATATGGCTACATAACATTGCCACACGGGAAATCTAGGGTATGTCATCCTGTTATTACCTCTTTCAATGCAGTAACCATTTTCGTGTGAATGTAGGCAGAGTGTTTGCCCCAATCTGGACTAAACTCCTGAACAGCACAAGCACTGTGTCCTTGTATAATTCCAACCATAATTTCCAGATGTTCATACAGGGCCTTGAATCAGGACTCAAGACATTGAAAAGTATAAATCAAAGCTCTTTAGACTGCTGAAGTGGGTAAGGTCCTGAAAAATTTTACTCACGATCTTAAAAATATAAGCCCTCTGAAACAAGACAGCGTGTCTTTAGTAATGTCATCAATGGAGAGGCATAATTCTTACACATAAAACCACTGAAAGGCAAAATCACATTTTATAAAATTAACTTTTCACTCGACATAAACATATCATTGCCAGATTATAAATACCTGCTGTAAAGTCTTCCAAGGGCCATGCTGAAGGATAGCAGATGTATCCAAAGGAGGCATTGTATCTGCGGGACACTTCACTAGTCTCTTTTTCTTAATGATTTTCTTGAGTTGATTTTGTTCGAGGATTTCAGACCAAGGTTTAAATGATTTCATCCAAGCTAATCTCCTTTCCTCAACCGAAGATAAAATGGTTATCTGTGACACAGAGCAGGCTAGGACACTGTCGTTTTCAGCCTTAGCTTGCTTCCATTGCTTGGGAACATCTTTACTCTCAACTTTGGGAGAGTCCCCTTCTTCAGTGTCCAAGGGGCTATTAGCACTGTGACTGCCAGACTCTACAGTGGGAGCCAGTTTTCTTGAGACAGAACCCTGCTGGTTTGTCTTGTCTTCTGTATGCACCAAGGCATCTGAGGTACTGACGACAGAATTGCAAGTCGGCACATTGTCTTTTAGAATTTCCTCAACTCTTTTTGATTTTAATTCAATTTCGTTGTCTTCTAGCCTCACATTTCTTTCTATAGGTTCTGGATTTTTTAATAATAGTGACAGTGGGTCTTTTTGCACGGGAATATTTGAAGAATAATTCTCCTCATTCAAAGATCCATCTTGCTCTGTGGTGTCTGTTTTTTCTATCTTTTCAGCCAATCTCTCTTGATTATCTGTTATGATATCCTGTTCTTCATTATTGACTTCTTCACTCATTTCTTGCATGTTTTCAGACATTATTTGGGTTTCTTGTCTCCCACTCTCCTTTGTGGCATGCTCTACATTTTCCTTATTTTGAGTTTGAGGCTTTAGTTCTTGTCTCACACTCTCCTTTGTGGCATGTTCCATATTTTCCTTATTTTGAGTTTGAGGCTTTAGTTCTTGTCCCTGGCACTGTGCATTGACGTTTTCCTTCAGGTCTGAGTTTTTCAATTCATTATTTTGGTCTATATTTTCAAAGTTAATTTCTTGGGTAGCCAATTTTTCTGAATATTGTTTCTTTGGTAAGTTTTCACTTTTTTCATTCATTTTTAATTTTGGTACATTGTCATTTTTTTCAATCATTTTTAATTTTGGTAAGTTTTCATTAATTTTTAATTTTGGTATGTTTTCATTAATTTTTAATTTTGGTAAGTTTTCATTTTTTTCATTTGTTTTTAATTCTGTCAAAATTCCCTGGCTTGGTTTCAATGTTACTCCCATTGATTCTGTCAATGCAAGCTGTTTATGCACATTTTCTCTCTTGGTTGACTGCTGAACCAGACAAACATCTTCATGCTCCTTTGAGTTGGTGTTCGCTAATTCATCGGCTATAGCATCCTTACCCTTTGACATATTTGTGACACCTATCTGCTTGGTATGACTCTCCTCCTTCTTTAAAGCACAGGTAATGACCATTGGATGGTAGACATCTTCCCTTGGTCTCACTTTGTCCTTGTTTCGTTGTTCCTCTCTTTTTTGTCTCAGGATGTTCTTTTTCTCTTCGTATTCCCTTTCCCGCCTCTTTCTTTCCTCGAGCATTTTCTTCTTTCTCTCCTCCTCAATCCTCCGCCCCTCTTCAATTCTTTTTCTTCTCTCTTCCTCCTTCTGTCGGATCTTTGCTTCCTTCTCTTTCCACTCCTGTTCTTTCCTTTTCTTATTTTCAATTTGCTCTCTTATGATTGGGCTATATTTTCGGTAAGTTACAAATGCTCTATATTTAGCTTGGATTTTTACAGCTGCATTATGCTGCAATTTTAGCAAACGTGCTTTTTCTCTTTCCTGTAGCTCACTTAATCGTGTTCTTTCCTCCTCCATTTGTAAATCCAAGTTTCTAATGAGTTCCTAAAACGAAGTAAGATACATAGTAATGAGCATCAGCTGAATTGGCAATTTTATAAGTAGATTAAAAGTAACACAAAATCTAAATCCAGAGTCAAATTACTATAAAGCTCATTGAGAAAAAAGTCACTTATTTTATAGGAAGTTAGTTTTTTTTAAATATATACACAATTGGGAAATATTGGGAAATTGATAATATTCTTTTAAAGTATGAGCCAATGAGTTAACAAGTAAGGTATTGTCTGCAGGTAGAAAGCATTTGAAATCAAAACGATAGAGGAAACACAAAGGGAGAAACAAGCCAAAGTCCACAGGACTCAACTTCCTGGGAGGGATGATGTAATAATGGAAACTAAAACAAAAGTAAAAAGACACAAGTAATTCAGCAAACTTTAAAGAATATTAGCAAGTAGGGCAAGTTAACAAGTAGGAGGAATAAACATTACATACTGGATTAAGTCCTCAACATAAAGATAAGCTTTATGAATAATATATACACTAGAATGATTTTCCACTCCAAAAAAAAAAGAAATCAAGAAAAATGAAAAATGAATGGCTGGGTGGCTGATGGTCTAAAGAAAAACATTTAAAAAAGCTTTTATTTATTTCAAATCAATAAGATATATATGTATATCTTATTATTATTATGCAGATAAACACAAAATAAAGGAATAAGACAGATAAACACAAGAGACTTACATATGATCAGTAGGCATCCCAGAATAAAAATCTGAAAATAACTAAAGGGCTAAAACTATTATAAATTATTTTTTGTACACAAATACAAATATACAATTTCTTGTAAACTAATACACATAAGTCATAGGAAAAACATCAAAGTTAACTCTACAGCCTATCTCTCAACACACACATGACACATTTACACAGATACACAAAGTACAGAAATCTCCATGCACGCATGCATTCTTTTTTTTTTTTACTTTTACCCACTTAGCAAAATGTTTGACATACAGTTAAAAAAGACTAAATCTGTACAGACCTATATATAATGTGAAAAATCTTAAAGCTTCAAAAGAATATAACCATAACATTTGCAATCACTAAAATGAATAAATATGCAATCTAATTATAACATTGAATTGTCAGGAGTCAGAAGAAATTGGCCTGGCTTTTAAGATCAAAGTAAAAACTAAAATAAAAATACTTTTTGCTTGGTAAAAATTGGAAAAATTTTCCTATTCAAAACTGGTTTTTCTGATCCAAAAATATATAGCAGTAAATGTCAAATGAACACAAAAAACAGAGAGAGACCCAGGAACTAAAGAAAACTAAGGAGAAAGAACGCCATGGAGTCACACAATTGCTACCTTTCTTCTTCCTTAATTTTACTTTTGAAGTCAGATATTAGTCTCAGATTTTCTTCATATGTTTAAGGCAGTGCATGTTGTTACTATAGATTCTTCCGATGGTTCCTTGTTCTGGGGCTTGAATTTTAGTAATTACACTAGTCTATTTCTGCACGTCATTTCCACAGTATGTATTACTATCGTGCATCACCATCTTTGAGTATTTATTTTAGAACTGTATTTAAAAGCAACCCCGCGTTGACCATTATACCTTTACCTATCTCTTATGATTCGCACACTCTCTCTTCTTTCAAGGTTACTATCACAGTATTAGATCTTTTCACAAGTGTTTTCCAGGCTGTTTTCTATGTTTCCTATTTTGTTGTCCTTTCTGTTCACCACTTTGAACATTCTTGTTAAACTCTCTTCTGCTTCACTAATGCCCCATTATATATTGAATATAGTGTCACACTCATTCATGAAATTTTAATGTTAACATTGAATTTTCATAGACCATACATTTACTACTTTGTGATATATTATAAGTTTCTTTTATACATCATCTGTTTAATTGTTCAGCTATTGAATGAGAGTTGTGGTTACTTTCATGGATCCATCTTATCAAACATTTGGATGGCATGTCACTTATGTATTTTCCTCTTTTCATTCAAAGGATATTTCTATCTACAAGTCTAGTGATGTTTACATTTAAATACATATAATATAAACCTTCCTTTGCCGGAGTGTATAAAGGGAAGACTTAAAAAATACAAAGAAAGGAAGCCATGAGCAGTAGGATAACATTAATTTATCTATTCTGTATTGGAGATTTAAATGAAAATTTGATCTATTTTATATGGGTAATGTTTAAGTAAAGTTATATAAAAATTATGGGAACCAACAAAAAATAAACTGAAATATTTATGATAGCTATATTACCTTAAACTCAAAATCCTTTGATACACTCAACCAATTGTGTCAAGATAAAGTAATCAGTAATGTTTCTTCAAATCTTCAAATATTATGGAATGTTCAAATGGAAAACAATATATGAATGCAAAACAACAAATACACACCTCATGTTGTCTATATTTTTCTTTCCATATTTTCTCTTCTTGATGAAGTTCATCATTCATTTTATCCTGATCTTGCTGAATGTAGAATAACATGAGAGTATTATTATATTCAAAGATCAAAAACATATTCATTATATAAGATTCTTTCAAGACATTTATTGACAAGGATTAAATGTGAAAATCTCTTTGCATCATCAGTTATTAATAATGAAAACTCAAGATGACTCTTGAGAGATGATACCTCTTAATGATACAAAGAAGTGCTGAAGGTATCACTAGCCCTGATCACACTGTACTACAGACCACAGAACTATAGTAATAGAAACAGCATGGTAATAGCACAAAGACCGACATGTTGGTCGGAACCAAATTGAAGAAGAGGACATAAATATACACCCCTAAACATATCTGATTTTTTTATTTAAAAAAAAACAGAAATACATATTGGAAAAGAGACAGCATTTTCAACATTTCATTGAAACTGGATGGCTGCATGTGGAAGAATACAAATAAATTCATACTTAACACCTTGCATAAAACTCAACTCCAAAGGGATCAAAGGCCTAACCCTAAGGTCAAATACATTGACTAGCAAATCTATTGCCTTCCAGATTTGTCCTGAGTTCCTCTGGCAAATTTCTTGTGCCTCAAATTCTTTCCCAGAGTTCTTTTCTCTACCCGGAAATCCTACCTATCCTCCCCTGTCTAGCAATGGCCATTCAGCTACTTATTAAACCAATAAGAAGGTTTAATAGGCAGGGAAGTGAAGCAGAGACACATATTCACAGTGTACAAAAAGATTATCCCACAATGACAGCATTCATCTCTCTGGTGACAGAGGAGACAGTGTGACTAAATGCCTTCTGCTCCTAAAGTCATAGATTTCTGACCAAGCTGGACTGTTCTTAAATCTGTATCCAAATAACCTCTTCCTTCTATAAAGTGCTTTCATCAGGTATTTCATCATAACCATGAGAAAAGTAAGTGTATTTCAGTATATATATATATATATATATATATATATATATATATATATATATGGGCAAAGTAACTTAAAATGCAGAGAAGTGGAGACTGAGCATCTGGCAGAATGAAAAGCAAAGAGGTAAAGCAAGAAAGGACAAGTTCAGACACTGTGGGATACAGGATGAGAAATCAGGTGAAACTTATAACTGATGCAAAAGACAGGAGCAGTGGCAATCCTGAGGGAGCAGATGCTGAGTGGAGTTCTGTAAGATAGATGATAGAAGCTTCTAATGATGGACAAGAATTATAACCAAGAATGCAATGAAGTATTACTAGGAAGACATTCAGTTCTGTATTTTGAATCCATTATAAAAATGTTGAAAAATCCCATGCAAAAGCTTCCAAACTCCACGGAATAATAAAGTACACATTTAGGAATTTATTAGCTCTAAGAATAACTCATTTCAGTGAAACGTGATGAAAAAATAACTCTTAGTTTCAAAAATTAAGCTACAATCATGGACAACAGAGACTAGTATCATTCAAACATGTACCTGAGGGTTTATCTTCCATGGAAACAGAAAGAGAAAAATAGCATAGTAGAATTGATAATGAGGTATCATTTTAAAATGAAAACATCACTACTCAATTTAATGAAGCACTTCTGTGTAATTCAGTAAATATTTCTCCAACTAACTCTATGTAGAGCATTCAAAACCCCTGAATTCTGCACAACACACAAACCAACCTTAGAGAAGAGCAAAATTAGATTTTGTCTCTACACATGCACACAATCCAAATTCCAAATTCTCTAAATTTACCAATAAGCTATTAGTACAATTTTACTTTTTAGATATCAACTTAGACACACCCAACAATTAGAAAAGCACACTGAACAGTCTACAGTGAATAAACTTAGCTTAAGTTAGCGGCAGGACAGAGAATGTCACTGAAATTACTGAACTACTTTAACTTAATATGTCTTTTATAATGTGTCATATGACAGTCATTGCAAAGAATACATTATATAATCAAAGGACCTGTCTTTTCCTGTTACTCAAAAGCTATGGAAAAGAATTAGATTATGCTGCAAATTTTAGATTATGTAGGATATTTCTTGAAATTCTATAATCCCCAGTGGCTTCCAAGATTAAAAGCTCCCATTTGAAATTCTAATGGATCATGATCAGGCATTTCCTCATCAAGAGTGATTAAAAGCCACATAGTAACTTCCTCCATTGATATCACAGCCAGACATCAGTACCTTTCAGAGGTACCTATGCTCTTCGTACGAGCTGAAAGACACCATACCTTCTGAAGGGTTTCTAATTTTTCCTTTTCAACTTCAAACTGTTTCATCCAGCAATGTCTCTTTTCATCATCTTCTCGAAATTTCTGTTTTTCTCTATCACTCTGAGCGTCGAGTGTTTCTTTATCCTTTTTTTCGAGTTCTTTTTGTTTGTCCTGCCAAGCTTCAAAAGACTTTCTACATCTTTCTTCTACTTCAAAGTATCCAAAACTCAAATCAGCATCATCTGCATTCATTCAGAGAAACATAAGTACTCTTCTTGAGATTAACTTATCATACTGATTTAGTTTACTATATAATTACACTGCAAAAGCATATTACCAAAGTAAATACATTTTGAAATGTAAATGGATATCAACTGTGACACTTCGCATGTTCATGATTTCAACTGGTTTTACATGGAAATTCCATTACTGTCAATAAGGAAGTCCAATAACTTTTTAAAAATATTCCCTAAAATTTAGAATAATGTTGCATTTATCTGTGCCTGTGAATACGGAGTTAAGCGACAGAGTTAAGAGATATTGTTCAGGATTGCTTTGGTTGACGGTCTTTTGTACTTCCATAAGAATTTTAAGATTTTTAAAAATTTCTTTGGAGTATTACATTGAAATTTTTATGAGAATCATAGAGAATCTGTTAGTTGATTATGGCCATTTTTAATAAAGTTATTGCTACCTACTATGTATATGGTTTCTTCTTCAAATTCTTTTGTCAGTGTTTTTTTTTTAATTTTTCTTTTTAGAATTTCTCACATGTATTTAAAGTTGTCATTGTATGGTATGTTGACTTATTGTATGTCAGCTTGATACAAGCAAAAATCATCTGAGAGGAAGAAACCATATTTATAAAAATATCTCCATAAGATTAGGTTGTGGACAAGCCTGTAAGGCCTTTTTTTGTAATTAGTGCTGTTGATATGGGAACCTATTTTGAGTGGGGGTCACCCCTATAGTTCTGGAATCTCTATGAAAGCATGAAGAGGAAGGTATTGGAAAGCAAGCCAGTAAGAAACATCTCCATGGCTTCTGCATCAGCTTCTGACTCTAGGTTTCTACCCTGTCTGAATTTCTGTCCTGACTTCTTCCAGTGGGAAAAGTGACTAGAAGGAAGACACCAAATAAACCCTTTCCTCTCCAACTTGAGTTTGGTCATGGCGTTTCATCATAACAGTAGGAACTTGAACTAAGACACGTGGTGAACGAGATGGCTTCCCTCATTTCTTTCTTAGTTTGACTGTCTTAGTATCCAGGAAGGATGTTGATTTGAGTAGGTTAATTTCATAGCCTGACATTTTGTTAAATATGTTTGTCACCTCTAAAAGGTTTCTGGTGCATTTAGAATCATGTATATCAAATCATGTATTCTGCAAGTAGAGGTATTTTGACTTATTCTTTTCATACTTATATCCATTTGATTTTCTTTGTTTGATCTAGCTAAGACATCAAGAACTATATATTGAAAGGGTGTTCAGCAGAGATACTTTGATTTCTTATGATCTTAATGCGAATGTCTCAAATTTTTCTCCATATAACATGATGATGACTATCAATTTGTCACAGGCAGCCTTTATTATGCTGAGACAAATTTCTTCCATCACAAGTCTCAAAAACATATTTTTTTTAAATCACAGGATGCTGGAGTCATTCACAGATTCTTTCAGCATCAATTGAAATGATGATACAATTTCCGTCCTTGAGTTGACTTATACACTGATAAGTATATTGATTTACATGTGTTGAAATATCCTAGTCTATCTGAAATGAAGCCAATATGATGGCAAATGACTTTTTAAAACTAACTAAAGTTTCATATTGTTTTTATCCTTACCCATCTCCCTTCCAACTCACCCCATGCCCTTTCGGTGTGTTAGTGAATTCAACTTGAAAGAATTTTATTGAAAACTAATGACTTTCAAATTTTAAAAATTTTGTAATTGTGTGTTTACAAGTGCCACAAAGAATAAAATTCAATGCACTTTGATACACAACATAATTTTTTTTGCAAATATAACTAGAATATTGCCCACCTGGTAAAATATATTCATCCATGGATGTGTCAAGAGGAACTGTCTCAGGAACCGAAACAGACCTGGCAGAATCAGTTAGACTTCTCATAAATTCTTCCTTTTCTATTACAGATAATATCTAAGAGGTTGAAATGGTATCTTTATTATTTAATTATTAAAGAAAGACAAAATAGAATAAAACTATGATTTTAATATTTCTAAATATTCATAATGAAAATTTGATATACTGCAAATCCTTTCAAATACATACTTAATTATTTTTATAAGTATATTTTATTCTCATAACTTGCTTCCTGATGGATTTCTATCTTTTTTATCTATAGTGATTGTTCATGTGCATAGGCTATTAAAGTATTTAGTATAATAAAAAGAGAATTATCATTTATTTAAATGTGACTTGTGCACATAGTTTTGACTAAGTATCTTATATATATATAATTATATTCAATGTACTTTAAAATAAACAGGATATCTTCAAGGAGAAAAAAATTCAAAATTGGTACTTCAAATCTTAGGGTTAATAAAAAGGAAGCAAAATATTTTCAAGCTGTACTCCAATACAAACTAGGAACAGAACTAGAAAAAATAGACCAATATTATAACTGAATCTAAGAAGAAAGTCTTTCAAAAACATTCTTCATAACGTATTTTGGGGGTTTCTATCTATAAAATGCTAGACTTGACTTTGATATTTCCAGAAATTTTATTCTGTGTTTTTTCCCAAAAGTAATGTAAAATCTTCCATTTTCTATATTCTCTGAAGTATTTAAAACAATGTTGTGAAATTACTTCTTTCACAAGAAAAACAATTAGCACTATAATATATTCATTTTCTTGCTCCAAAAATTATAAATACAAGATTAATATTTTACTGCTCTGTGTATATGAACATTTATATCCCAAATACTTATGATAAATCACTACCTTAATGACAGAAATTTGTGTAGTTTTATATAATATGCCAGAGGATACCATGAAATCAAAGACTATTTGCTTAAAATAATCTAATTGAAGTTAATAAACTAATTTTCAATGTAAGGAAAATATAACAAATTCCTAAGTGCAATGTGAGTATTTCATTTGGATGTTAAATGCATACCTTCATTAACTGTTCAGAATCTGCTTTTGATTCAGCTGATGATCCAGTCCTCCTCAAATGCATATGACTGTTAGAAACTGTACCATAAATACAACCTAGAAAAAAATTATTCAAATTTCAAATATTAGAATATGTGTCAAAACCTCAAACCTTTTAATTACCCTTTATCTTCATTTCTATCAATATATTCCACCAGTAACAGTAACTCCACAGAATAGAGAATAATTATTAAAAAGTTGTAAGAGCCCCCCATCCCCCTGGGGTCGCAGGATCTCCCCAGAGCTGCTCCCTTGCACGCTGAGCCTGGGCTGTGGGCTCAGCCCAGCAGGGGCAGTTCCTGTGCTTTGAGAGCCTGCCTGAGCACAGGCAGGCTCTGTGTCGGCTTAGACACATTCCTGGCCAGCAAGAGACAGTGAACTTCTAGCAGACATCCATTGGAGGAGGGGTGAGTTTGCTCCTGGCCCGAGGACTTCGGCTAGGAGGAATTCAGACTTTACCCGCCCCCCTCGACTTTCTAGTCGCCCTGCAGTGGTGGCTCCACCCTGCGGAGCTCTCCCAAATCCCATCCCGGCCTTCATCCAGGTACACCTTCCTCTCTTCCCCCCATCACCCTGGGGGTCACAAGATCTCCCGAGAGCAGCTCCCTTGCTCGCTGGGCCTGGGCTGTGAGTGCAACCCAGCAGGAGGGAGTCCCTGTGTTTCAATAGACTGCCTGAGGAAAGGTAGACCTTCTGTCAGTGAAGTCCCTGCCCAACAAGGGAACCTGACCTGGTACCAGAAGATCCAATATAGAGCATTTGAAGAAAGAGATGGGCAGACACCAAGGCAAGAACTCCTCCAACAATCTAAAAAACAACATGAAATCACTAGATTCTAACGACCCTACAATAGAAGGACCTGAACCTCTTAATTCAGAAGAAGTGGAAAAAAGTGTCATTATGAAAGCAATAGAGTCCCTTAAACAGGATATGAATAACTCCCTTAAAGAACTGGATGAGAAATACAACAAAAAGATAGAAGAAATGAGTAAAGAAATGGATGAGAAGTATAACAAAATGTTCGAAGAAATGAGTAAATCCGTGAATGATACACTGGGAAACCAAGAAAAATCAATCAAACAGGTAATGGAAACAGTTCAGGAATTGAAAACTGAAATGGAGGCAATGAAGAAAACACAAAACGAGGGCTGGCTGGATATGGAAAATCTAGGTAAACGAACAGAGACTACAGAATCAAGAATAACCAATAGGATACAAGAGATGGAAGAACGAATCTCACAGTCTGAAGATACCATAGAGAAAATAAATGCTCTGATCAAAGAAAACAGCAAATCCAACAAATTCTCATCACAAAACATTCAAGAAATTTGGGACACAATAAAAAAACCAAATCTAAGAATAATAGGGATTGAAGAAGGAGAAGAACTGCAGATCAAAGGCCCAGAAAATATATTCAACAAAATTATAAAAGAAAACTTTCCCAACCTAAAGAATGATATTCCTATGAAGGTTCAAGAAGCATACAGAACACCGAATAGACTTGATCAAACAAAAAAAAAAAAACATCCCCTCGCCATATAATAATCAAAACACAAAACACACAGATTAAAGAAAGAATATTAAGAGCTGCAAAGGAAAAAGGTCAAGTAACTTATAAAGGTAAACCTATCAGACTTACACCGGACTTCTCTATGGAAACCATGAAAGCCAGAAGGTCCTGGATAGAGGTACTGCAGAAACTAAGAGACCATGGATGCAAACTCAGACTACTATACCCAGCCAAGCTATCATTCACTATCAATGGAGAAAACAAAATATTCCAGGATAAGAACAAATTTAAACAATTTGTAGCCACAATCCCTGCCTTACAGAAAGTAATAGAAGGAAAATTGCAACCCAAGGAATCCAACATTGCCAACACTCAGTTATTGCCAACATTGCAATAACTCAGACATCTAGCGACCCTTCAGGAGCTTAACTCAAAGAAGGGACACATACAAACTCTATTAAACAAATAAACAAAAAATAATAATAACTGGAGTCAACAACCACTGGTCATTAATATCACTTAATATTAATGGACTCAATTCACCTATAAAAAGGCACAGACTAAGAGATTGGATACGAAAGAAAGATCCAACACTCTGCTGTTTACAAGAAACACACCTCAACCACAAAGACAGATATCTATTCAGAGTAAAGGGTTGGGAAAAGGTTTTTCAAGCAAACAGACCTAAGAAACAAGTAGGTGTGGCCATTCTAATTTCCAACAAAATTGACTTCAAACTAAAATCAATCAGAAGAGATGGAGATGGACATTTTATACTCATAACAGGAACAATTTATCAGGAGGTAGTCTCAATCCTGAATATCTATGCTCCTAATATAAAGCCTCCTACTTATGTAAAAGAAACACTTCTAGAACTCAAGGCAGTCATCAAACCACAGACACTAATAGTAGGAGACTTCAACACTCCTCTCTCACCAATGGACAGGTCAATCAGACAGACACCTAACAGAGAAATAAGAGAATTATTGGAGGTACTGAATCAAATGGACTTAACAGACATCTATAGAACATTCCACCCAAATAGGAAAGAATATACCTTCTTCTCTGCAGCTCATGGAACCTTCTCAAAAATTGACCACATACTGGGTAACAAAGCAAACTTCCACAGATACAAAAAAATATTAGTAACCACCTGTGTCTTGTCAAACCACCATGGATTAAAGTTAGAATTCAACAACAGTGCTACTCCCAGGAAACCAACAAACTCATGGAAGTTGAACAGTCAACTACTGAATCACTCCTGGGTCAAGGAAGAAATAAAGAAAGAAATTAAAGTCTTCCTTGAATTTAATGAAAATAAAGACACAACATACTCAAACCTATGGGACACTATGAAAGCAGTCCTAAGAGGAAAGTTCATAGCACTAAGTGCCCAATTAAAGAAAACAGAGAAAGCACACATTGGAGACTTAACAGCACTCTTGAAAGCCCTAGAAAAAAAAAGAAGCTAATTTCTCCTCACCCAGGAGGTCTAGAAGACTGGAAATAGTCAAACTGAGGGCTGAAATCAACAAAATAGAAACATAGAAAACAATCCAAAGAATCAATGAATCAAAAAGCTGGTTCTTGGAGAAAATCAACAAGATTGACAAACCCCTATCCAAATTAATCAAACGGCAGAGAGAGAACATGCAAATTAATAAGATCAGAAAAGAAAAGGGGGACATAACCACACACACAGAGGAAATTCAGAGAATCATTAGATCTTACTACGAAAGTTTATATGCCACAAAGTTGGAAAATGTAAAAGAAATGGACATTTTTTTAGATAAGTACCATATACCAAAGTTGAACCAAGACCAGGTGAACAATCTAAATAGACCTGTCAGTCGTGAAGAATTAGAAGCTGTTATCAAAAATCTCCCTACCAAAAAAAGCCCAGGACCAGATGGTTTCAATGTAGAATTCTACCGGAACTTCCAGAAAGAGCTAATACCTATACTCCTTAATGCATTTCACAATATAGAAACAGAAGAATCATTGCCAAACTCTTTTTATGAAGCTACAGTTACCCTGATACCAAAACCACACAAAGACACAACCAAGAAAGAGAATTACAGACCAATCTCACTCATGAACATTGACGCTAAAATACTCAATAAAATACTGGCAAACCGAATCCAAGAAGACATTAGAAAAATTATCCATTATGATCAAGTGGGCTTCATCCCAGAGATGCAGGGCTGGTTCAACATACACAAATCTATCAATGTAATCCATCATATAAATAAACTGAAAGAAAAAAACCATATGATCATTTCATTGGATGCTGAAAAAGCATTTGACAAAATACAACACCCCTTTATGATAAAGGTGTTGGAGAGATTGGGGATATGAGGATCATACTTAAATATAATAAAAGCAATATATAGTAAGCCAACAGCTAACATCAAATTGAACGGAGAGAAACTCAAAGCCATTCCACTAAAATCAGGAACACGACAAGGCTGTCCACTCTCTCCATATCTCTTCAATATAGTGCCTGAAGTTCTAGCAATAGCAATAAGACAACATAAGGGGATGAAGGGGATTCGAATTAGAAAGGATGAAGTTAAACTTTCGTTATTTGCAGATGATATGATAGTGTACATAAGCGACCCCAAAAATTCTACCAAAGAACTCCTACAGCTGATAAACACCTTTAGTAATGTGGCAGGATACAAGATCAACTCCAAAAAATCAGTGGCCCTCCTATACACAAAGGATAAAGAAGCAGAGAGGGAAATCAGAGAAACATCACCTTTCATGATAGCCATAAATAGCATAAAATATTTTCGGGTAACTCTAACCAGGGAAGTGAAAGACTTATTTGACAAGAACTTTAAGTCCTTGAAGAAAGGATCCATATCTATTACCACAAAACTATCATGCACAAAACTCAGGTCCAAATGGATTAAAGACATCAACATTAATCCGACCACTTTGAACCTGATAGAAGAGAAAGTGGGAAGTAGTCTACAAGACATAGGCAAAGGAGACCACTTCCTAAGCAGAACCCCAGGAGTGCAGACAATAAGAGAAACAATAAATAAATGGGACCTACTGAAACTGAGAAGCTTCTGCAAAGCAAAGGACACTGTCAGTAAGACAAAACGGCTACCTTCCGACTGGAAGAAGATCTTCACAAACCCCTCATCAGACAAAGGTCTGATCTCCAAAATATACAAAGAACTCAAGAAACTAGATACTAAAACTCTAATTAAACCAATTAAAAAATGGGGTACTGAACTGAACAGAGAATTCACAACAGATGAACTTCGAATGGCAAAAAGGCACTTAAGGTCATGTTCAATCTCCTTAGCGATCAGGGAAATGCAAATCAAAACAACTTTGAGATATCATCTTACACCTGTCAGAATAGCCAAACTCAAAAACATCAATGCTGGAGAGGATGTGGAATGAGGGGAACACTCATCCACTGTTGGTGGGAATGCAAACTTGTGCAGCCACTGTGGAAATCAGTGTGGCGGTTTCTCAGGAAACTGGGAGTCAATCTCCCTCAGGACCCAGCAATTCCACTCTTGGGAATATACCCAAGAGATGCCCTAACATACTACAAAAGCATTTGTTCAACTATGTTCATAGCAGCAATATTTGTAATAGCTAGAACCTGGAAACAACCTAGGTGCCCCTCAATAGAAGAATGGTTAAAAAAGGTGTGGAACATATACACATTAGAGTTTTACTCAGCGGTAATAAACAATGACATCTTGTATTTTCCATGCAAATGGATGGAAATAGAAAACGCTTTACTGAGTGAGGTAAGCCAGACCCAAAAAGAGGAATATGGTATATATTCACTCATATGTGGATTCTAACCATAATTAAAGGTCTTTGAGCCTATTATTCATGATCCTAGAGAATCTAAATAAGAAGGTGAACCTGATGAAAATCATGTAGCTATCTGTCTGGAGACTGGAAATAGACAAGAGTCCCAGGTATCCTCGGGTGCATGGGGGGGGGGTGGGGGGGGTTGTTGGAAGGGGAGAGGGTTAGAGAAGGGAGTAGGGGAGGAATGGGGAAAGCTCGCTGGACTGGGATGGGGGGGGAGGGAGGAAGGATGAATATGGGATCAGGGAAGAATATATTTCAACTAAGGGAATCATTTTAGGGTTTACAGGAGACATGATTATAAATGGGATCCCAGGTCCAAGGAGAGATCCCCAGATTGTTCTCTGGACAGAAGAGAGGGTGCCTGAAACGGCCTAGGCCCATAACCATACTGATGAATATTTTGCTTATCACCATAGAACCTTCATCTGGCGATGGATGGAGATAGAGACAGAGACCCACATCGGAACACTGGACTTAACTCCCTAGGTCCAAACGAGAAGCAGAAGGAAAGAGAACGTGAGCAAAGAAGGCAAGACTAGAGGGAACCTTCATCCGACGATGGATGG